GGCCGGCCGTGGGAACCTGGGATCTGAGGTCCGGCTACAGGGGCGCCTAGGAGGGAGGGCGTGTCCGGGTGGTATAAAAGGCGAGGGCGGAAAGGCTTGAGACTCGGGTCCACCCCGAGGCGCCTCGGATCGGCTCGCTCGCAAACGTGAGCCGCCAAAAACCCAATGGAGCGCTGTTCTCCTCTGACACGCGCAGGTCACCGCGAGTGGACATGTGCTACACCTCGGTTTTTAGAAAGGGAAGCTCAGGGATCTCTTAGAGGGGAGTGATTGAAGGGGAGCTTCACCTGCTCGAAGAGGAACGGCAGTTCGTGACCGTCTGGGGACAGCCCCTCGGGGTGCAGAGGTCCGTGAAGACGCAGACACAGTCTCCAGCCCGAGTCTGGCAGGTCCACCAGACCGGCTTCTTCCCCAGCGGCCAAACTGCGGAGGAGGAGAGACCTTCAACCAGGAAGCAGAGCCTCCAGGGCCGGGGCCCCTGGGCTGGGCCGAGGGAGGAAGCAATTGGGTGGGCCAGGTTTGTTTTTTGTTCTTGCGGGCGGGGACTCTCGGCGGAGTGGAAAGGGAAAAGAGTCTTGAAGTTAGACTGCGGGGTCCCAGGGAGAGGCCGAGACCCCAGCATAGATAGGTGCTGGTCGGGGCATAAAATAACTCAATTTTTAAAAGAAAAACGCCTCGCTCTTTAAACCCAAAGATTCGAGCCTTACAAGAGCAGACTGCCTCATCTCCATCCCCCCGCCCCCGCCACACACACACACACACACACACACACACACACACACACACACAGCTATTAGAGTGGGCACCAACTGCCGACCTTGTGGCCAGTGGCTTAATTCATAGCCCTGACTGATCAACATTTGTGTAGTGATTGACGGGCATCTGGGAGGCAGAAGAGTTAGGGGGCAGCAGGGCTGGCGCTGGACATTTACTTCTCAAACCTGGTGAGCACGTCGGCCACGAGGGTCCCCCCAGCCAGGGCTCGCTCCTGCGCCCCATGCTGTTCATACAGCGCGAAAGAGTTGCGGCTCCGGGCCAAGCCCAATCGCCCGACTAGCTCTCGGGCCACCTGGGGGGAAGCAGAGAGGGGGAAGTCAGTCCGTGCAGGGGTCTTGCCAGCAGTTGGAGAGGGACGATACAACTGGAGGAGGTCTTCCAGTTTGCTTAGTCCCGCCCACTCCACCCCCGCCACCCCCCCTGTACGCAAATGCAGATTCTGAGACGCTGGGGACATCTAGGGCCCAGGCACCGATGGAGCAGAGCCCGGGAAGCTGGGAGCAGGGCACGTGGTGGTGGAGATGCGGAAGCCTCTCTCCGGCCTCACCTCCCCGGCAGTGGTGTGCGAATCGATGGCCACTGGGCAGGCACCAGCCCCGGGACAGTGCACGGTGCACAGCAGCTCCTGCCGCCGGCTCAGCGCGGAAATCTCCGCCAACGACGGCACCAGCTCGCGGCCGCGTGTCCGGCCCAGCGCTCTTCTGATGAAGCGCGCATATTCAGCCAGCTCAGAATCTGGGAGGGCCTGCTCGGTTCTGGGACAGAGGGTGCCAGAGGGTGCCGGACATAAGTGCTCAGAGAACTCCCCGCTCCCGCCCGCCGTCCATCCGTCATCCCGGGGATTTCCTCCCCTCCAACTAAATTCCTCAAAGGCAGCCACTCGCCCTTCCAACTACCCCATGCTCTGTTTGGAGACGAATTCCTTTCTAGGTTTCCCAGCAGTCCCTTCCCACTTCAGAAAGTCTCTTGAATGCTCATTCCGGCTAAAATTCGCAATCCAGCAGCATTTCGCTGGCTAATTTGGAAGCCTTAGAGCAGGAGGGCATCAGCCCTGGGAGAAAAGGTGCTTTTAAATAAGTCGTCTGCCTAATAAAATGTTAAAAAAGAAAAAAAAAAGTCGTCTGTCCAAAGGGGGCGCCTTTTTGTCAGTCCTACGCCTGCAAAAGATATGGTGCATGGTAGCCTCAGCCCTGGCCTAGGGCGAGCCCCTCCCTTCTCTACGCCTAGTTTCGCCATCTGCCAAACTCTTTAGGAAGAAGGAAAGGGCCTCCCTCCCAGCCCAGCAGGACCCAAGCCTGAGCCCCGCCCCGCCCCACCCAGCTCACCTCTCCAGATGCCCCAGGAGGTGCCCGCGCACTGTTCCCCCAGGCCGGAAGGTGCAGCTCATGCAGGTGAGGAGCTGCCAGTACCGCAGGGTAGCAGGGTCATGGGTCGCAGGGGGCCCGGGAGGGCCCGTGGGGCCCGAGGTCTGCTTAGCCAGCTGTAAGAAGAGCTCATCCCGCAGCGCTGGCAGGTCCTGACAGGTCTGGAGCACACCTTGCATCAGGGGCCCAGGGCTCCGCGCCCCCTCCAGGGCCTGCAGCGCCAAGAACAGCCGAACCGCCTCCTCCCTCAAGGGCGCATAGCCCGGACCTGCGGGAGGGTGGGGGTGGAGGGATGGTTTGGAAAGGGGACACAGAGCTGGGCCCTAGGAGGAAGGCATGAACCAGGGGGAGGTCAGGAGTATAAGGGGACAGGGGGTGGCGAGGAGAAGAGGTTAAGGACAGGCAGAGTGAAGGGAAAGCAGTGGTCACCCAGAACCACCCTCTCAGCCCCTGGCTTCTGGGAATCCCTACTCCAGATGCTTCTAAGGGGAGTTGGGGTTATTCAGTGGGACAGGTTGAGAGACACAGGCTTGCCCTAGATCCAGTAACTGGGACTAGGCACCACTGTGATGGACCAGAACATAGACTGTGGGGGGGATAAGAAAACCAAGGTGCTGGTCCACGCCCATTTGACCCCTCACTGTTGGAATCTTATGGGGGCTAGTTTGGCTGGATGAGGGCAGGTGCCCTTTCAGCACTTTCACTGCTTGTTAAAGTGACATGGACAGGTAACATGGCATGGAAGTGACATGGACAGGTAACACGACACGGAAGGAGCCCTGGTGACACGAAAGGTTGGCTGTAGACCTGTCCCCACCCCAGCAGCTCCCTGGGAGAAGGCCTGACCATCTGTTACTGTCAAGATTACAGCCTATGAAAGACCATGGGGAGGACCTAATGTCGGGGGTTTAAGTGGAGAGAAAATGTTTTGAGAAACGATGTACAAATGCGCTTTACACAATTGATGTGTGTATGGATTGGGATAACAGTTGTGTGAGCCCCTAATAAAATGTAAAAAAGAAAGAAAGAAAGACCATGGGGCAGTTCTGCTCTGGGGGTCGGAACCCTCTCACAATGGCAACATGACATGTTCCTAAGAGTGTGAAGAAAGATCAGAGTGAACACTCTCCAACAAAGTTCAGGGGTCAGAGTGAGACCCACAGAGAATGTGGTCAAAGGCAGCCCTTTTTTTTTCTGGCTGGCGCCCTGCCCTTCTGACTCCCCACCACCACCACCCCGGGCCTGGCCCTAGGTAGATCAGGCCAGTTTCCCATTTCCCCTTCATTCTTGGAAAAGTGAGAGGCTGGTAGGCCCCGCAGTGTCTCAATAAGTCCCTGCTACCCCCACCCCACTGCTATCCAAGCATCTCTATCCAGGGTTTCCTAGACTCTACATCTTTCCAGGAGTACACAGCTCATCTTTCTCATAGCCCTACACCTAGCCCCCATGGGTCACCAGGGCTCCTGGAGATAGGACAGATTCTTAACTTGGATCAACCACATCCCCTACAGGGGGTTGGAACCTTGGGGCCACTCACCTGGGGCATTCGCTCCATAGGGCAGGGGCAGGAGTGGGGCATACAAGGCCCCACTCGTGTGCCTCAGGATAGGGTTGCGGTGGTAAATGAGGGCCACAGCCTCCGGGTCCTGACAGCTCTCCTAGAGGCCAAGGGGGAGGGTCAGATTATGTGGCAGAACTTCCCTATGTCCCCAGACAGCTTCCAGGTCTGCCACCCTCTTTGCAAGAGTCCCCTCTCTCACACCTGAATGTCCCTGAGCAGTAGCTGGGTGGGGGTCTCCAGGGGGGCCTTGGCTGCAATCACTTCTCGAAGGGCCACCCCCCAGCGTTCAGCTTCTGTCTGGCGTGGTGAGCAGAGCCGCACACTGTGTTTGCGGCCAGACACGGTCACTGACCATAGACCTAGGGGAAAGAAAGACCAGGATGAGGGGCCGGGCCCAGCAGGGATAGTGGCAGTCCAGGGACTTAGAAGTGGAGTCCCCCCACTTCTCACCAGTCTCTTTGGGCCTGCGCTCCGGGCCGGTCACGGCGCACAAACTGGTGAGCACCAGGCTCCCGAGGCGCCGCGCCCCATCCCCGCTGCTGCTGTACTGGTCCAGGGAGTCCCGCGTGAGCACGAACCAGGCCCGGCGCGGGGGCAGCCAGGGCCGCGCCCCTCCTCTGCGGGGCTCGCGGTACAGCCAGCCTGGGGGGAGGGGGCAGGATCAGCAGGTGGAGATATTATTCCCTGGGATTGGACGCCTCTGGAGTGCCCGAAGGGGTCCCCCACCTTTCACGACGACGTCCGGGTCGTCCTCGGGCGGTCCCTTCTCCGGAATGAGGCTCCGCGTCTCATCTGAACTCTGCAGCCTAGGCGGAAGAGGAGGGAGCGTAGAGCGAGACTGCCGCACCCCGGGTCCGTCTCAAGGGGGCGTCTCACCAGGAGCTCATCAGACTTCATCAGAGAGGTGCCTGGCTCCCGGGCGGGGAGCCCCTCCCCCTGTCTGTGGGAACCACCAGGCTGTTCTGACCTCGCACCAGAAATAGCCTGGACCCCCCCCTTTCTCCCGGCACCCCTGGCTGGACCGCCCCCCCTCCGCCCCCATCCCCGGGACCCCGGCCAAACCACAGCGTCCGGCAGTGGGCCTCTCCCTTATTGCACAATCCCGGGAGGGACGAGGGTGAGCAAGGGGGTCTCGCGGGCGAACTGGGGTCACGTTAGCACGGGTCAGAGCGTTGAAGCTCACCTGTCGGAGACGGGCCCGGTTCTCACCGGCTGAGTCAGCGTCACGTCCAGGGGGCCCTGAGAGGCAGACAGAAAAGACCTCAAGAACGGCGCCGCCCGGGAGAGAAGGCCGCAGCTCGTGCCTCCGGGACAGCGCTGCCGCGGGAATTGCGGAGTCCCAGAGCAGGGTCTCCGCAGCAGTCACTGGGCCCGCCCCTCTGTTGGTCCACCAGGGAGGCCAGGGCAGCTGCCTCAGTCCCCTTTACCCTTTGAAGATGAAATCAGGGTGGAGTTGGGGTGAGGGGGGGGGGAGAGCACTAGGCGCGGTGCCAGCAGACCTTGGTTCTAGTGCCGACTGGGCCCCTGGCTCTCTGTGGAACGTTGGACAAGTCCCTTCCTGCCTCAGTTTCCCCTTCAGTAAACCAGATGAAGTCTCTTCCCACTCTAGCCGACTAGAAGCCAACCCTTGCTCTCGCGTTTCCTGTACTGCACTTGGTCTCCTTTGCTTGGGGGGAGGGAGGGGCCAGCGTCAGGCAGCAATAGCAGAGGTGAGTAAAGAGCGCTGCTTACCTCGCCCCCAAGCGTCCCCAAGGCACAGGGGTGAGCGGAGCCCCTGGCCCTCCGCTGGGGCTCTGGTGGGGTAGGCTGGGCTGAAGAAAGGCGCACACACCCCTAGGAGGGGTAGTCTGGGATCTGGCCACTTCCCCAACCGCCACACATCGCCCTAACTTCAGTCCTAGACTGCGGTCTGAGAGGCCGGCCAGGCGGGAACGGTGCCATCCTCCCATCGGGCCCAAACAGCTCCAGCCAGGAGGGGGAGGGGGGCCAGGGACACCTGTCCCCGAACACCAGAGAAGGGGGGCGGTGGAGGTGGAACATGAGAGAAGCCACAGCCTGGTTGACTGAGCGGAGCCCGACTCTGCTCAGGCTGGAAGGTCCTGGGCCTTCCAGGGGTGGGGATGCACCCATTTTCTGAAAGGTCCAAGCGAGGTTCTGAGCCATGCTACCAAGGGGGACAGGTGGTGACCACCCTCTCAGACCAGCTCCCCTAATCACCGTCCCCTCCCTCCTCCTCCCTCTATATTTATCCACCCTTCGCCTCCGCCAGGTGCTGGCGCCAGCCCCGGCCCGGCATAGGCAGCCCGCCCCACCCGGGCACTGAGCCACTGGGCCTGCCAGGGACCCCTGAGCAGCGGGGGATGGGAGCCTGGCCCAGGCTTTAGCACACGGGGAGTCTGACCGTCTGAGGGAAAGAACATGGAGGAGGGGACACCAGGAGCATGAAGGCTCCTATGCTACTCGTGCCTCAGTTTCCCCAAGGGAATAGTCGACGGAGCCGCCGACTGTCCCTCGCTATCCCTCTGGGATTCCCTTGGAGCCTCACCAGGCAGGGCCGAGAGTCCTGTCCAGAGTGGCAGGGGGGTGACAGGGACACTTGCAGAACCGCGCTCCTCAGCTCCTTCTCCGTGGGGTTCCTGCCACAGACCCCAATCCTAGGATGCCTTCTCCCCCTCGCCCAGGTCCCCGTGGCAGAAGCTCCCGCATCTGGCCCCAGAGCTCCTGAACTGGGAGCGGAGCGGACCCAGGCATCCGAGCCGCCCAGCCGGCCTCGCCACATTCCTCGGAGCTGGTGGAGGCGGAAGGAGACGGGATGGGACGCGGGCCCGACCGGGAAGGGAGAGGCAGGGCCAGGTCGGGCCACGCGTAACGCCTACCCTGCCTCAGGGCCCCCAGCAGGTGGACAGCGCCCAGCATGCGGCGCGAAGCCCGCAGGCACCTTCGGAGTCCCACTGTGCCTTGAGCTCTGGTGGCAGGCGGGGGAGAGGGGGGGGCTTCTAGCCCCCAGGCAGGAACCTCCCCGGTGTCCCCAGTGCTCCCAGAGAACAGAGTTTGGCTGGAGCCTGGATCGCAAGCCGGGGAGCCGACTGACTGTAGCGACGATTGAGACAAATCTCCAAGACAACCCCCCACCCCACCGCAGCCCCGACTTACCCTCCCGCCGCCCGCCAGATTCGGAGTCCGCAGCTCAAAAGTCTCCTCGTCCTCGTCCTCGTCCCCGTCCCCGCTAAGCTCGCCGTCCCCGTAGTCCCGGTGCAGAAGGGTGAAGCCTCGGCGGCAGCACAGGAGCCACCACAGTCCCCCGGGGAGAGGCATCCGGGCGGGCCAGCGGCTGGGGATGGGGGCGCGGGCGGCCGCGGGCAGGCAGCAGGGGATCTGGGAAACTGTCGGGGCTCCGACCCAGCGGGGTGGGGGTCGGGAGGACAGGAGATGAGAGGGAAGGCGAGAGCAACAGGGAGAGCCGTGTCCAGCTCTGGGGTTCCAGGGGACGCTAGCTGGAGCTTGCGGGGAGGGGGGTGGGGGGGCTCGGTGCCTGGTCCACAGAGGGGGAGGGGGAAGAGCGTCCAGGACCGGGGTGGGGGGGAGGTGGGAGCAATGTCCGGAGCTGGGAAGTAGTGTCCGTTGTAGTGTCCAGTCCTGTGGGGGGCAGTGTCCGGTGCAGTGTCCGAGGTGGGCAGTTGTCCAAGCCCCTGGGAGGGTTGTGTCCGGTAGGGCATCCGGTGGCCGGGGCCCGGGCCGCGCGCGCTGCGCTCCCTGCAGCCCCGGGACTGGCGCGCTAGAGGCGCGAGCACAGCATCGGGACCCCGCCTCCCCAGTCCCCTTTCCTCTGTGGGGACCCCCCCTTTCCCTCTCTTCTTTCCAGGGCAGGGTCCAGATTTCGTCACAGCCTCTTCTGCCCAATCACTGCTCCTGGCGCCGGGCGCGGCCACCAATCAAACAGCGGAGGCCGCGGCGGGTTGCATCATGTGCCCCTGGCTTGGTGACAGCGGGGAGGGGCGGGAAGAAAGGGGAGAGAGAGGGCGGTGATATGTTAGGCACGCCCCAGGTCGGACGCGGGGTGCCAGTAACGTCACGAAAGCCCCGCCTTCAGGTGCTTGTTTTAACTCTTGGCGCACCAACCAACAGATGAAGCCTCGGCGGCAGCTCTTGGGAAGGCAGACCGGAGCGGTGGTCTCGAGAGAGAGTGATGTTCAGGAAGACCCGACTGCTGCCCTCCGAACCCCTGGTCTGGTCTCAGAAGGCCTGCAAAGGGGAGGAGCCGAAGCTAGTGAGAGGGCGTCCAGACTGCATCGGGCATAGTGCTGGAGGTGCCCTCCGCCCCTGGGGCGAAGGGGTCTAGGGCGGGTCTGAGTTTCTTCCTTTAGAATTGAAGAAACTGAGGCAGGGGCTCCGAGAAGGTGCCGACCTAGGCCAAATATAGCACTGACCTGCGGGCGCCTGCTCACTGTACTCTGGGGCGCAGAGGGCCCTGGGATTGGCGGTGATCTCCGAATACAGCAGTCGCAAAGGGCGAGGAGACTGTAGTTCTGTGTAGGAAGGGGTTAACCGAGGAGGGAGGCGGACGGGGCGGTGCTTAGCCTTCGCGGGAGCGCGCCTTGCTGACTCAGCGATGGTTCCCTAGGTCTCCCGTGATGGGTTCCAGGTCGGGCGCGCACGGCTGGCATGCGTGACCCTTTGAGGATCTGCGCCCGCCGTCTCCAGGCCTTCCCTGGTCCTTGTGCCCTGGAAGCCGTGACTCTGGGCCGTGGCCGCCGGATCCCTCAGGAGGAAAGGCTATCGCTGGCTAGCCAGGGCGGGGGGTGGGGGGACCTCAGGCCTGCGCCTCCCTGGAGACCGCCACGCCACGCCCCGTTCCACTCGCCTCGGCCCCTTTCCTCCTCTCCTCTCCCCTCCCCTCCCCACCCCCCCATCCCCAGTTTAATGGCTGGAGTAACCAAACGGCTTTGCTGACCGTATATTAAACTGCGAGAGTTGTTGCGTGGCGTGTGAACATGATTCTGCTTGTATGTTTGTGTAGAACAAAGACCAGGAATCTGCCCTGTCCCCAGATGGGTGGCCCGCCCTGAGTTTTCCCAGGGTGAAGATTTCACTATCCGATTAGCTCTTCTCGGGTTCGAATGGCATTGTTTCTAGGGAAGTGCTTTCCGACGTCTAACCTCCCCTTTTCCTGTATTTCCTCTGATCCCATCCCCCCGGAAGATGGGGTACAGCAATTCTCCCACTACTCCCAGCCAATGACAAGAACTCTTGGAAATTTACAAATTACAATTCCCTACTTGCCTGGTTTTTGCTCCATGGAGAAGAACTTCAGCTCAACTTTTAACACTCCCTTTTTTCCCCCCATCACAGAATCTCAGAAGTGATTGCAAAATGGTAATCCAATCCAAACGTCCACCCTCCCCCCACACCCCCCTTCCAGGCACACACAGTCCCCACAGCCTGTGCCTGAACATTCCAGAGGCCAGGAACTTGGCTGTTTCCTAAGGCAGCCATGACTGGATAGCTCTGGTTGTTAGAAAGCTCTTTCCTTTGCACTCTTTCAGGAGGTCTGTCCGCCCCTCCCCTCCTGGCAGCTTTCCCGCCGCACCTCTGTCGGAGGCAGCGAAGGTGGAGGGGGTGTCAGTGCCTAGAACCTCAACCGGCTCAGCAGTCCCCCACCCCCACCCCGGCTCTTGGCGTCTTCCACTCAGAACGGAGCGGGAGGGAGGGGTCACCCACCAGCTCTGCCCTGCTACAAATCACTTCCAACCTCCGTGACGCAAAAATAGTAACAGTTGTTGGCTTGCATCTCATTTTCATGTTATCAATTTAATGTGTCAGGGCACAGGTCCCTACCTCTGGCGCAGTGTTCTCCCACCTACTCCCCTTTCCCACTCCCTCCCCGGGAATCGTTTCGGGGGCGGGGGTCGCCCCCTCCTCTAGGTTCGCGCTCTAGGACCTAGAAGGAGAGACTGCGGGTCTCAGTGGGAGCCGTGCAGAAAGACAGGCGGGGCCCGCAGGGGCAGCGACCTCGGGGGTGAAACCCTGGACTGCAGCCCCCACCCCGCAGCAGCCTCCGGAGGTCTTGGCGGAAACGCAGCCCCAGAAAGGCGTAGAGCACCGGGTTCAGGCAACAGCGGGCCAGGGCCAAGCCGCCGGTCACCAACAGAAGTAGGTCCTTGCGCTTGCTCGCCGAGCAGCTCTGCTCGCGGGCGGCTAGCAGGTCGGCGGCGTCCAGCAGCAGGGCGAGGCTGTAGGGCAGCTGCAGCACCACGAAGGCCGCCACCAGGGCCACCACGACGCGCAGCGCGCGCCGGCGCTCGGGCCCCCTGGCGGCCAGCAGCGTGCGGCCCAGGAGCGCGTAGCAGGCCGCCATGACGCCCAGCGGCAGCGCGAAGCCCAGGACCACCTGCGCCACCGCACTTGCCCCCTTCAGGGTCTGCGTGAGACCCTCGGGGAAGATGAGGCGGCAGCGCCGCAGACCTTCCCGCCGCGCGTCCTGGCTGTAAAAGAGCGCGGGCAGCGCCAAGAGCAATGACAGCAGCCACACGACGCCCGAGACCAGGTGCGCTCGGCCTGGAACCGAGAGCCGCGGCCTGGCTGGGAGGGCTCGCGCAATGGCCACGTAGCGGTCGGCGCTGATACAGGCCAGGAAGAGGAAGCCAGCGTGGAAGGAAGCCGAGTAGAGGCCCGAGATGGCACGGCAGGTGGCACTGCCCAGGTTCCAGCCCTGCAGAGCTCCTGCCGCGGCAAAGGGCAGGGTCAATGCCAGCAGGAAGTCGGCCAGGGCCAGCTGGAATAAGTGGGCTGAAGTGGGCGAGCGGGCCTCCCGACGGGCCGCCAGGTGGGTGGCCAGAACCAAGCCATTGCCTGCCAGACCCAGCGCAGCCACCGTCAGGGAGGCACTGGGTTGGAAGGCCCTGCTGAAAGCCTGGACATCTGCCTTGTAGCAGAGCTCCGGCAGCGGCTCAGAGGAATATGCTTCGTCATCGTCCCCAGAGTAGGGTCCCCAGGAGCCCTGGGGAGGTCAAGAGGAGAGGAGAGATGAGACACTTGCCCTCACACTTCTCCCTGCCCGCTCGCCCCCTCGCTCCCCACACCTCCAAAATGGGGTTGGAACAGCTCCAACCATCGAAGAGAGAAGACAGAAACTTCCCCAAATCTTGCCTGGCGCCTTAAGACCTGGGCTTCCCGTGCACCCCATCCCGCCTCTGCCTCCAACCTCCTGAGTGACCTTGAGCAAGGGAGTTGCCCTTTTTCGGACCTCAACTTCCTAATATGTAAACTCCCGATCAGGCATCCTGACCATGCCGCTTGGCAGGTTTTGCTGTGAGGGTTGTTTGAAATAAGGACGATCCGTGAATGTGAAGGATTTGCTTTCCAGAGTGGAAAGCGCTGGTGTTATTAAATCAATCTTTGCGCTTCGGTTCCTCTGCAGCGCCCTCTCCTGGAGAGACTTGCCCATGCAGCCTTTGCTTCCTAAGCGGCCCCTACTTGGTCTGGAGAGGGTTTCTGCTTGCCTTCTTCCCCTTACCAGCTTCCAACCCGCCGCACCCCTTACTCCAGTCCAGCCAATGGTTGGGGCTCACTTGGGGTCTTGGTCCCTAGATTCACTCTTTTCCCCTCAGCCTCTTTCCCCCCACCTCAGCCTTACACTACCAACCCCATCCATCTGAGGGCCCCCACCAGCATAGACCACAGGTTAGAGCCTTAGCCCTCTGCACCCCAATAGCCAGGTGGGAAATTCCATCACCTGGCCCTCCCTCTCTCTAACCACCCCTGCCCACCCTAAACCTTGCCCAATTCCCACCTGCTCCGTGTGCTCAGTCCCCATCTCTTGCTACACGGGTTTCTGAGGTGTAGTCACAGATGGGAGAAGTTAAACTAGGTACAGGAAGGAAGGGGCGGGGAGAGGGGCCAAGAGGGAGGTGGGGATTAGGATCTGTGGACCCACTGTACCGATTTTCCACCCGGAGGACTTCTTTCTACCCTGCCCGTTGTGGAGATTGGGGAGCGCTTTGGAATAATTATCCTTAGCTAACTAGCTGTGCGATCTTGAATAAGTTTCTTGACCTCTCTGAGCTTCTTCCTTTTCTTTTATTTTTTGCCCCCTCTGCAAGGTGGAGTAAGGTAAAAATGCTGAATCCACAGTTACGGGAGGGTGCTCAGGCCCTGGGCCCTGGGGCATTGATTGCCTTCAGAAATGGTTAGATTTTACTTAACTTTCTTCCCATTTCCAGACACCATCCTCCCCGCCGCCCCCCGCT